GGCTATTTACTAAAGAGAAAATTCAAGGTAAATTCTACCTTGGCTGGTTCGGGCTTCTGTTTGCCGCAACCCACTCTATGTCCGAGGTACTGCACCTCGGCCATCCCTATGCTGCACTTGGCCGGTTTCAATGTCAAACCAGCTTCCTTAATCCTGTCTAGAACCGCTCCTATACAGCTGCATTTTTCGAATTCAGTTATTTTGAACTTAAATTTGTAATTCAGTTTAAATTCTCAATTTAGTAAATATGTCTATAACTGGTAGGTACATTATTTCTCCTGTACATGTCCACAGCTCCTTTTTTTGTGTCAATAATTGTTTATTTAAGTTTTCAGTTTTTACAAGTACAAACAGTACCAGACAATGCAGTAAACATTGAACAAAGAGACAACGTATAATGTTTATGTTGGTGCCCTAACAAGGTTGAGAGGAATAGCATAAAAGTATATGGATGTCTGTTAATGATATCACAGTGTTACTGTCAACGTGCCTAGCATGGTGAGCACAGATTACAATGTCAATCTAAACAGAAACAAACTATCAGGCTCAAAGCCTATCCTGCATACATAACTAGATAGGGTGAGGTGAGGTTTTCCAAGTAACGGTGAGTCAAAATGAGGATCCATAAAAGACAGCATGTAGTAGCAATAGTTAACTCGTAAGAATACATAGTCTCGTAATATTCAAACTTATTATAAACATGATATGGTAAACAATCCTGGACTTCCTCAATAGCTCAGTACATGACAATCCAGAGGATACCACCAAAGTCTCATCAGCAAGACTATTGGCTCAGGATGACTATATATGGCCAACGTAGAGGCTATGTCAGCCATCACTGAAGCACTTTGCTAACCGAGTTACATAACAAACGTGGTGTTAACGTGCGCCTATTAAACAAACCAATCATATGGTAAAAATGTATGAAAAATAATACTCCAGCTTTAAATTTGGCTTGTCAGACTTCTACCAAATGCATTGATTTAATTGTATTTCTTTTTTTCTATTTAGCTTTTTTATTTATTTATTTTTTAATCTAACTGGCTTCCTAACGTTCCATTTTTTGATGCCACTATTAGGTAACCAAACCTAGTAATGGAGAAAAAAAATGGAGCAGTAATCCTGTAACTTCAAATGCAACAAGATCATGTTCCCAATGCAACCTGTGGGTTTAAGCTTCCACCCAAGAAGGAACAGCCAGCTTGCTCATTGAAAGACTGAATCCACGTCACCCAATCAAAATAGCAAAAAACTAATAATTGATTTATTTAAAAAAAAAAACAATTACCATTAAAGAGAAAGAAAGCATTATAATCTCACACACAGTGTTTTCTCTATTTTTTTAAAAAAACTTCTTTGTTTTATTCTTAGGATACAAAATCATATGAACGTTTATAAAATGTATAAACACAGTATAAAATGGAACGCCCTATACAAGGTTCTAGTAAGTAAAGTAAAACTAATACTCTTGGTGGAAAGGTCTAGAAACTCTCAACAAACACAATCTCTTGTAGGATTTAATCTGCCTGTTAAACAAGAAACACTGGTAAGGCAAGTCTGGGTGATCTCATAATTCTAGACACTTCATAAGAGTTAGACGATACTAGCTGATAACATTTGCTGAGAGCCATAAGCTGAAATATGTTTCACAAAGTATAAAATAACACAAATTAGTTTATTCACTAAACAGCAAATTGTGGTAAATTGGAAAGAATTCACCAAACATATCAAAACTGGGAATATAACTGGGTCGGAGAATGTTTGTACCGGAGCTATTTTGGCCATAACTTAGTAACTTTGTTTTTTAATTCATCACTAATAGGTTCACTAAACTTTGAAAACCTGACAATTAAAGCAGCGGTCACTTTCTGGGGTCATTGCATATTTTGCAGAGACCTCCAGCGGTGACGTTGCCGCTTGGTTTGCGGTGGCCGGGGGGGGGCGCAGTGAAGGTGAGATATACTTACCTGATGTTGCCATCTTCAGCTCTTGGCGATTTACCTGCCTGGAGCCCACATCAGTGGTGTATACGACTGCATATGACTTCATATTATTATTATTGGTATTTAAATAGCACAGTGGCTCCCCTCTGTCCTGCAGAGCCAGCAGGGGAGAGGAAGACACCGGGAAAAAATCTTGCGGCTCCCCTGTGTGCCCGTTGCGGCGCCCCAAGGTGCCGCGGCACACAGTTTGGGAACTGCTGATAAAGCGCCAACTAATTCCGCAGCGCTTTACAATATTATGAAAGGGGGTAAGTTTTACAATAAATGAGACAATTACACAATGACACAGGAACAAGAGCTTACAGTCTAGATATTGTCTTGCGATCAGTGAGACAGTGTCATTTTACCTCAGAAGGCACTAGTGTCGGCTGAGTGAACTTCCAAAACTTGAGGGCAGTAGTTCCCCTTTTTGTCAAGTGTGGGAAGAAAGTCTACACTTTATCTTATAATATCTTTTGACTGTGTTTAACATTTTAACAAGGGAATTGCAAAGGTTTGACAAAAACGGCCAAACTAGAAATTGCTACAACATGCATATTTTCCCAGTTTGACTATTTGGGCCTAAATTGTGCAGTTTCCTGATTTAGTGACCAAGCTTGCAAGAATTTTCTATCCAGTAGATTAAATTCCTTGTCAGGATTCACACCCAGAAAAAATAAGGGTGTGTTCTATATAAAAAAAAAAGGTGTGAATTACACCCCCTCTCCACTACAGAAAAAACGTGTTGTTACTGTTATAAAATCCTGTAGAGTTTATTCAGTGAACCATGTATTATGGAGAATTTACAAAAAATACAGTTTGACTGGCCTAGAATTTGCAATATTGTAGTTTCTCTATAACTCACAGTTAAATTAAAATATTGCTGCAATAAGACCCCCCTTTTTTTTACGCTCACAGCCAATGAGCTATACCGGAAACCAAAAGTGTTGCTCGGCGGACCCCAGTACTAAGTGAAACCATTGTAAAATAGTACAGCAGGCGCTCCTGGCACCATAACCACTACCGTGCAGTGTTTATGATACCTGGAGTGTTTTTTTCAGTTAATTTGAGTGAGAACTAATGCAGCCCACCCTTTTATTGATGCTCTCAGCCAAAACCTATATAGGAAATGGAAAGAGGTGCTTGTCGGATGCCAGGTAAGAAGTGAAACCATTGTAAAATGATACAAGGGGAGAGGGTGCCATTGCTGTTCTGGCATCATAACAACTGTGCAGTGCAGTGTTTGTGGTACTTGGAGTGTTTTTTCAGTGGACTGCAGTGAGAACTGCCAGGCATAGAAATATAAAATATTGGCCACTTACTGCTGGCCAATATTTTATATTTCTATGCCTGGCAGTTCCATTCCCCCAATAAAGGGCCTCATTGAATTTATATATATATATATATATATATTTTATTTATTTTTTTCAGGTCCCAGCACTCAATGTTCCCGGTCTTTTCCATGCTCCGGTGCAAGTAATCTCTGACCAATATATAGCATCCAAGTAGAGAGCACTCTGGAGTCTTCGTTTTACATCAAAATAAATACTGCTTTATTGTGCAGAATACAAAAATGTCGACGTTTCAGTCACAATAGACTTTTCTCAAGACCAAGGTAAGACCAAGGCAAGACCAAGGTAATTTATTATTATTATTATATATTATAGATATATATTATTATTATAGATATATCTTATTATTATATATATTATTATATTAATATTATTATAGATATATCTTATTATTATAGATATATATTATTATATTAATATTATTATAGATATATTCATTATTAAAGATATATATTATTATAGATATATATTATTATTATTATTATTATAGATATATATTATTATTATTGATATATTATTATTATAGATATATATATTATTATTATAGATATATTATTATTGATATATTATTATAGATTATTATTATAGATATATATATATATGATGGAAACGTTAAAAAGTGCTGTATATAAGCTGCTCTCTATCACACTGAGATCACTCAGCACCAGGTGCAGCATAGGGATGGCTGAGTGTGACAGGAGTGGCTGTCTCATGATCACTGAGAGGGACATTAGTTTTCTCTCTAAGTGTTGTATCTTTGGTTGCCATGGTAACGCACGAAACGCGTCCCTTTCTTTCCCCTCTAGTTCTGCAGCGTCACCCGTTGCTATGGAGACCCTATTGGGTTTTTGTTGTTGTTTTTTTTCCCCCTCAGGGCACCCGCAGCGCGTGCTGGGTCACCTGACTGAGAGGGAATGCGCTGCTGGGTTTCCACGGCAACCAGGATCGAGCCCGAGGCATGGCCTCGCGACCCAGGCTGAGAAGGGCGCGTGGCGAGGTTGGCGGGCTGGAGCGCAGAGCGTGCCGCAGCGCGCGACCTTCTCCCTCCCTCTTCCCGCGCTTTCTGTGGTTATCATTGTGATTGACGGCTCGGCCAGAGGGGGAGCTGCCACAGACAGAGACATTGTGGATCCCCCTGGGGCTTGGGGTCAGTCTGTGTGAGGGCGACCTGGCCGGTCACATAATGGTTCATAGCCTTAGTAATGGAGGCATGAGGTAAAACAATGTGCAGGGAGGACAATATAGCACAGATAGTAATGACACCATGTCTATTGTATTATAATGGACTGACACAAGGAGCTAGAACATAATAATAAAAATAACCTCCACATATTATCTATCTATCTGTCCATTCACCAGTTTACCTGCCCATTATCTCTCTATTTAAATCTATACTATAAACACTCACATGGACTAAAGGATCAGGACACACCTCTCAGTGATTGAATTCAGGTGTTTCATTCAGGCCCATTGCCACAGGTGTATAAAATCAAGCACCTAGCCGTGCAGTCGGCATTTACAAACATTTGAGAAATAAATGGGTCATTCAGAAGAGCTCAGTGAATTCAAGCGTGGTACTGTGACAGGATGCGAGAGGACGCCGGTACTGTGACAGGATGCGAGAGGACGCCGGTACTGTGACAGGCTGCCTGTACTGTGACAGGACGCGAGAGGACGCCAGTACTGTGACAGGACGCCGGTACTCTGACAGGACGCGAGAGGACGCCGGTACTGTGACAGGCCGCGAGAGGACGCCGGTACTGTGATATGACGCCGGTACTGTGACAGGCTGCCTGTACTGTGACAGGACACGAGAGGACGCCGGTACTGTGACAGGCCGCCTGTACTGTGACAGGACGCGAGAGGACGCCGGTACTGTGACAGGATGCGAGAGGACGCCGGTACTGTGACAGGCTGCCTGTACTGTGACAGGACACGAGAGGACGCCGGTACTGTGACAGGCCGCCTGTACTGTGAGAGGACGCCGGTACTGTGACAGGCTGCCTGTACTGTAACAGGACACCGGAACTCTGACAGCACGCGAGAGGAAGCCGGTACTGTGACAGGCCGCGAGAGGACGGCGATACTGTGACAGGCTGCCTGTACTGTGACAGGACGCCGGTACTCTGACAGGACGCGAGAGGACGCCTGTACTGTGACAGGACGCCGGTACTGTGACAGGACGCGAGAGGACGCCTGTACTGTGACAGGATGCCAGTACTGTGACAGGACGCCGGTACTCTGACAGAACGCGAGAGGACGCCTGTACTGTGACAGGACGTCGTTACGGTGACAGGCCGCCGGTACTGTGGCAGGCCGCCGATACGGTGAGAGGACGCCGGTATTGTGGCAGGACGCCGGTACTGTGGCAGGACGCCGGTACCGTGGCAGGCTGCCTGTACCGTGGCAGGACGCCTGTACCGTGGCAGGACGCCTGTACCGTGGCAGGACGCCTTTACCATGACAGGACGGTACTGTGACAGGACGCCGGTATTGTGACAGGATGCCTGTACTGTGGTAGGACGCCTGTACTGTGACAGGATTCCGGTACTGTGACAGGATGCCGGTACTGTGACAGGACGCCTGTACGGTGACAGGACGCCTGTACGGTGACAGGACGCCGGTACGGTGACAGGACGCTGGTACGGTGACAGGATGCCGGTACTGTGATAGGACGCCGGTACTGTGGTAGGACGCCATCTCTGCAATAAGTCAGTTCGTGAAATGTCATTCCTGCTCGATATTCGATAAGTGGTATTATTGGAAAGTGAAAGATTTAGGAAGACCACGTGGGGTCACCGAGTGCTGAGGCGCATAGTACGTAAAAGTCCCAAATACTTTGCTGATCCCATAGCTGAAGAGTTCGAAACTTCTACCGGTATTAATGTCGGCACAAAAACTGTGCTGCGGGAGCTTCATTGATTGGGTTTCAATGGCTGAGCAGCTGCATGCAACCTATCACATCACAAAGTACAATGACAAGCGTCGGATTGCGTGGTCTAAAAGCATGCGACGCTGGACTCTGGATCAATAGAAACGTGCTCTGTGGAGTGACGAATCACGATTCTCTGTTTGGCAGGGTGAGGGGCAAGTCTGGGTTTGGTGGATGCCAGGAGAACGTTCCCTGCCTGACTGCGTTGTGCCAACTGTAAAGTTTGGTGGAGGAGGGATAATGGTACAGGGCTGTTTTTCACGGGTTGAGCTAGGCCTATGACTTCCAGGGAAGGAAAATCTTAATGCTTCATCATATCAAGACGTTTTGGACAATGCTATGCTTCCAACTTTGTGGGAACACTTTGGGAAAGGGCATTTTCTATTCCAGCATGACTATACCCCAGTGCATAAAGCAAGGTCCATAAAGACATGTTTGGATGGGTTTGGTATGGAAGAACTTGAATGAGTCGCACAGAGCCCTGATCTTAACTCCAGAGAACACCTTTGGGCTGAACTGGAAGAGTGGAAGCTGTTAAAACTGTAAGGGAGGGACCAATTACATATTAATGTCTATGTATTTAGAACCACTTTTGGCGTTGGAGAGGGGTCATCATGGACACTCTGACCGATCTGCGACTACGTAGCCACATATGCTGCAAACTGTGATGCACTGTGTACTGATACTTTTCTTTCATGGCCAGTTTTTCAGCAATTTTACCTACAGTAGCTCTTCTGTGTGATCAGACCAGACAGATTAGCCTTCACTCCCCACTTGCATCAATGAGCCTTGAGCACCCATGACCCTGATGCTGGTTCACCGGTTTTCCTTCCTTGCACCACTTTTGGTAGGTACTAACCACTGTATACAGGAACACCCCACAAGACTTTTGCCGTTTTGGCGATTCTCTGACCCAGTCGTGTAGCCATCACAATTTGGCACTTGTCAGAGTCACTCAGATCTTTTCACTTGCCCATTTTGTTATGCTTCCTCATGGAGGAAGATAAAAGATTTTCCTCACTTATTTGCCCCAAAGCGCTGGTCTCGCCTCGGTTGCCCTTCTGGCAGATATTATTATTTTATTATTAGCACCAGCAAATTCCATAGCGCTGTACAATGGGTGGACTAACAGACTGCCCATTGTACAGATGATCTCAACCAATTCAGTGCTTCCCCATTCGGAGGCTAGTGTGCATGGGTGGCAGTCACCCCTCTGTGCCAATCAGCATCACTCAATGCATCTCTATGGGAAGCAGAAAAGCAGGGATTGCATAACTCAGCCTGCAGTGCTTCTGTTGTCTAGTGTGTCCCTTTAAGTGTATGGGTGCCATTTTTATGCTAGCCAAGATGGGTATGAAACTGGAAAGCGGGTCCCATCTTTCCAAAATGGATTTATTTCCTTCTGTGTTTTATATGGCTTTATAGAGAGTGTAAATTAGCCCCTCATTATGAAATGTGCCTCTGATGAAGATGTTTACCTTTATCTATAGATTAAAGAGGCATGTAAGTAAGTGCCTTCTTTGAAGTTAGAGGTTTCATGTCCATCTAAAACAAACCGGGGGGGGGATAGGAGCAATTCCCTTCCACAATCCTGATAGACAGTGAAGTAGGTGATCACCTACATTCTAAGGTACCAAAGGGCCTATAATTACATTTATGAGTATACTCTTCTGAGCCCATCTCACATATCACTAGAGTTAGATATATATGTGTCACCTGATGTATTTTCACCACATTTACCACCCCTCACTGAAGAAGTAAAGCCCTGAAAACTAGAAAATTTGTGAAATAATTAGACATTTCTCCTAACATCCTGCTTTCTTTACAAATACTCCATATTAGGATATAAAACTTTTTGTTAGCGATAATAAATGCTGATAAAAAAACCCAACAAGAAAACACAAATGTCTGACTAAATTAGGTGCTGCACAGAACTGATCAGGTTCACATGGCATTCTGACAGGTTCCTGGCTTCTTTCTTTGGATGCATTTTGAGTCTCCCTTCCTACTTGTTCAACTAAAGGATATTGTTTTTACTACAATTTCCCTTGCTATTCCAGCTATATATACAATGTACATGTACATCTCCTAGAGAAGCTAATTCTGTATTTTTTATTTTAATGGAAGAATGTAGCAACACAAGAATGCCCACTTTCCTCATTACAACTTGCCTTATGTCATGAACATCAATACCAAATGGATTGGTGTTTCATGGAGTCTCTGTCAATGGTAAGTACATCTTTCTTTCTCTCTCAAGCACCTGTCTTCTCTTTATTCTCAAACATATTAGAAAACAAGGTGACCATTGACAAATAAATATTATACACTTACCTAATAATTAAACATATTGGAAGAAAATCCACATTTTCCTTTGATTATAAGTAGTGATGTCACGAACGGTTCGCGAACAGTTCGCCACGAACGGTTCGCCGCGGACTCATCATTGAGTAAACTTTGACCCTGTACCTCACAGTCAGCAGACACATTCCAGCCAATCAGCAGCAGACCCTCCCTCCCAGACCCTCCCACCTCCTGGAGCTCACTAAGAATGCAGTTTCACAATGAATGTAAAATGGATGCTGTCCAGGAGGCGAACCGTTCGGGACATCACTAATTATAAGGCTTTAAAATATAAAAAAAATTTAATTCCAGCAAGTTGTTAAAAACTTCATAACTATTAATATCCCTTCTATATTCTTACTCTTAAAAAAGATTTGAGATACGTATACTGCTTACAAACCGTTTGTGAAGTCAGTTGTAGTGCCAAACATGAAGTATCTCCAGGTGATCAGTCCCGGAAAAAGCCGCACGGGAACAAAAAGTGTCAGTATATTAGCTACTCAGCTTTCCTGTTCTCAGTCCAGTTATAGTCTCAAGTCCAATGCATCCATCTTGAATGCTAATGGAAGTCTACCATATGTTTGCTGTATTAGACGTGCCGTGATATACTCATTTTAGACTTTATATTTATGACTTAGCAAACAGTTGAAAGAGTTTATTCTGAATAGCAGTAAACACTTACTGAATCAGAAGATGAACATTGCTTTTCTATATGTACTGCATTTTATACTTTTTATGTAGTAAGTATTGCTTGTTTGTTTTTTGTTTTTTTTGGGGGGGGGGTTTGCTTCTTTCTTAACACGCAATTCTATCAATGGTTGTTTGCCCCCTTCTTTGAAATTGTTTTGTTCTTCAATGGGCTGACACTGAAACCCTGTATCCCTAAAGATCTGTTCTACTGTTTGGCACTAATTAGAATTTTTTTTATAGGAACCAGTTATTCTGCAAGCAATGATAAACAGAATCCTCATCTTCACACCATCACGGGGAGAAGGTTAGCTCTGGACAAAGACCTTATCCTGACTCAGGAGCTGGACCAGTACACAAATGCATTATGTTGTGGTATGTGGAGATGCAGGGAAACCACGAACACATGTTATTACAAAATACAGACTCCCTCGGAAATAAAGCTTACATGTATTTTTGGGGCATTACTATACGCAGAGAAGGGTTGGCAACTGTTGGCCTAGCTGGATGTGAAAAGGAATTACCTTTTTACACAAAAAAACATGGAGTTTTGTGGATAGACCTACTCGCACTGCTCAAATGATATATGGTTTTAACATATGTAAGTTGTTGGAGTCATCTGTGGCATCATAGGTCCTTGCAGTTTTGATCAGTATGAACTGGGGCTGTAGCCCAAAAACCTTGAAATACAGTGACCCGGGGGCAATTGCCTCCCTTGCCAACTCTCCCCTGAGTATACAGTATGCAACATTTGAGTAACATGTAATGTTTTATAGTAGCCTAATAATATTATTCTCTTATTCTGCCTTTATACATCATTTTCTGGAAAGGCAACGGATTGATTATATTGGCAGATGTCATCAATCCACTGGCTACATCTGAATATATTTACAGAACAAATTTGTATAGTTAGCATTTTATTTATATTTTATATAAATATTTTTAGAAAGAAAGTTAGGTCCTGCCCTACCCCAAGGCATGCACCATATCATTCTTCATAGGCTGCCAAATAACAAATTACTAATTATAATTCCTGTTCACTTCGATATTAAAGAGTTATTTCGCTCTATTTAAGGTGTGCCACGTGAATGAAGTTGTTTCAATGATGTGTCTTTCAACTAATGTGTATTTTCTAGTTGCACTTTTATCTGCTGTTATGAAAGTAAATTAACTTGCATATTTAATGTATTTTTTTTTAAGTTTGGCTTTGAAATAGCTGCCATTGTAATGACTTTTGTTGGGCATATGGACATTCTGTTAATATGTATTCAGGAATTGTGCTGACAATTGATGTATGAATCTGGAAGTACTAGTTTGAATGTTAATGTTGACTAAAGGGTTTCAGAAGAAATTAAGTGTGAATACTTGGAGATCGGAGGGGAGGATTTCAGGATTGTTTCTTTCAGAACAGCAATTCCCATGTTTCTATATTTCCTTAGATGGTTTCACATAGACTCTGACTTCCAAATCGACAATGTCCAGACCATGATGCTACCTATTTTTCTAAAAGCCAAGAGTGGCTGGAGGACTACATTCTCATTTTAGTGAGCATCCCAAAATTGTAAAAACTTTTATTTCCTTCTACTTAATTTAATATGTTATATGAAACTAACATACTTTTACTTCTTAAAACCTACCAAACGTAGAAAAAAAAAATGTATTTCTTAACATCTTAAAAAGTAGTGCCATATGGTGATGATCATCATTCTCAGATTGCAAATTTGCAAATACTCCCTTTGTGGATCAAAAGAACATTCAAAGAATTAAATATTCTTTAGACTCCTGTGTTATTTTATCCTTTCATTTAAAAAAAAAAAAAAAAGTTTAATTGCCATTAACCTTGCCTATAATCCAGCATTAGGCTCCTTCATTTTTTTAATATTGCAGCTAATTGTTTAGATTTTTTTTTTCTCATAAATCTATACTAAATACCATATAATGACAAAGCAAAAACAAGTTTTTTTACACCATTGCAAATATATTAAAGACAAAAGACTGGAATATCAATTGAAATTAGTATTCAGACCCTTAAGCCAGTACTTACTTGAAGCATATTTGGCAGCCATTACAGCCTAAAGTCTTTTGGGGTTTTATGTGACAAGCTTTGCATACCTGGTGTAACAGTGTGCTATCAAGAGGATCCAATAAGCTTTGAATCCAGTTGCAGTCTCCCCAATGAGAGGACTTCAGTCACTCTACCAATAAATTTGATATATTTCTAATCCTATTGCAGAATTTACAGAAAAGAGGACAGGCCTTCCCTCCAAGCATGAACCCCCACAGCGACCTTTTTGGTTTTTCTAGAGTGTCCTTTGACTGGGTTCGTATTCCGCGGGGACGGCCATGTTCAGGTCTCTTCAGAGATGTTCTGTTGGGTTTAAGCCAATCAACGGCATAACCTCATCCTATGCCACTCTTGCATTGTCTTGGCTGTGTGTTTAAAAGCATTGTGCTGTTGGAAGGTGAACCTTTGGCCCAGTCTTTTATTAAGGATATATCTGTATTTTTTGTGTTCAGCTTTCTGTCAATCCTGACTTGTCTCCCAGTCCCAGTTGCTGAAAAACACCCTCAAAGCATGATGCCTTACTGTTGGGATGGTATTACAAAAGTAATGAGCAGTGCCTGGTTTCCTCCAGAGATGATGCTTTGAATTGAAGCCAAACAGTTCAATATTTGTTTCATCAGACCACAGTATCTTGTTTCATACAGTCCTTTATGTGCTTTTTTGCAAATTACAAGCATACTTTAATTTGTCTTGCAGTGAGGAGAGGCATTAGGCTGTCATAAAGGCCAGATCTGCGGAGTGTTGCAGTGGTTTCTCCCATCTCCAACAAAAAACTATTTAAACAATTGCATTATAAGGCTAAAGCATTTAAACACAATAAATAACTGTATGTCACATCCAGCATCAACATAGACTTGTAATCAAAATTATTCAACCCCCATTGAAAATCAGGTTTATTATCAGCTGTTTGCAATAAACAAATCAAACAATAGCAATTGAAATAGCTAAACACAACAAATGTTTCCAGTGGCTTCTTCAAATGAAACTGGAAATGAAACTTATAATTACTTTTCCAGTCTCAAAATTATTCAGTCCCTTCATGGCAAGCATGCTGTTATGACCTGCTGCAAATGAAATGCATAACCAGGCACCAGCTTCTGGCAACGTTCCCGAGGAATCGTAGCCCATTGATCATGAGCAGTGGCCTCCAGTTCAGTAATATTCTTCGGTTTGCGTGCTGCAACTGCCTTCTTCAAATCCCACCAGATATTTTTTATGGAGTTCAAGTCAGATGACTGTGATGGCCACTGTAGAATTTTCCAGGACTACTTCTGCAACCAAACTTTGTGGCATTGAGGAAGAGTGTGTGTTTCAGTGTATACTTCATTCTTCTTGATCCATTGGGCTGAAAAGTTCCAGTTTTGCTTCATCACTCCACAGAGCAGAATCACAAAATTTCTGTGGTTTATTTATATGGGTTTGAGCATATTTTAGCCGACTTTTCTTGTGCGTTTGGGTCAGTAGTTGTGGATGTCTTGGGGTTTTTGCATGGAAACTGTGCTCACTGAAACCTGTTGCCACCAAGTCTTGCTGCAGGTCTTTTGCAGTCACTTGAGGGTTTTTCACTAGATGACTTCTCAGAAATCTGGTTGCAGCCATTGATAGCTTCCTTTTTGTGTCCAATCCTGGTAGTGTAACCACTGTTCCATCAACTTTGAACATGGAAACTATATGCTTTCAACTGTGTCTCTAGGAACATTCAGTCCCTTCCCAATGTTTTTGTATCCGGTTACTTGTTTTTGAAGGGTGATGATCTCTTTTTGCATGCAGCCAAATGTGACACTCAACAAACCCCTAGCCAGTTCAAGTATTTCAAGTTTTCCAGCTCAAGCACACCTAGTGCAACTAATGAAGCTCTTGATTAGTTCCATCAGGTGTGCTTGAGACAACACCTGTTTTGCATATTTGTGCTATTGAGAGGTATTCTGTTCAGGGGTTGAATAATTTTGAGACTGGAGAAGTCATTATACGTTGCGTTTTCAAATTACTTGAATCATTTCTTGTTTTTAACTATTTCAATTGCTTTTGTTTACACATTTTGACAATAAACCTGATTTTCAATGGGGTTGAATAATGCTGATTATATTTGTACTTTGCATGCTAAACCAGACATTAAGTAGATTCAATTATTGAATCTATTTTTGTCCAAAGCCTCTAGGAGCTGTCTGATTGACAGTGATTAGAAGTGTGAAAACTGTAAAATGCAAATTGTGCTCTTTCTCAGAAGCAGCCCTGTTTTCATTCACAGGGATTCAGGGGCAGAACCTATTCACCCAAACCACTTAATTAAGATGATTTGATTTTGGTAATTATAGGGACACTATAGTCACCAGAACCACTGAAAAGGCAGTAGTTAGATTACTGCCTAGTAACATATCTAGTGGTAATCACTGAGATGGCCACTAGAGGTGCTTCATACATCAGTGCTACACTGCAGGCCCGGACTGGCCATCGGGCATACCGGGCAAATGCCCGGTGGGCCGCGATGGCCGTGGGGCCGAGGCCGGCAGGGGAGGTCACAGGATCTCCCCGGCTGGCTCCTGCAGGGCCAGCGCTACCCGAGCGCCGGCCCTGCTGTGTGCCTCCATGGGCCGGTGGGGAGATCAAAGATCTCCCTTTACCGGCCCAGAGACACTTCCAGGCGGCCGCTTGCTGGGGTGTGAGGGAGGGAGGGAGGAGAGGACCGGCGGAGCTCTATCCAGCAGCTACCCGGGTCCTCTCGCGGGATTCTGAGCGTTGCCGCAGTTACCGCGGCAACGCTCAGATCTCGCGAGAGTGAACTCTAGCCTACAGGCTAAAGTTCACTCTCACCACTGGACCACCAGGGATCAGGCAGCATGGCTCTCCCATGGCAGAACGGCTCCCTCCCCCTCCCAGGCTAAAGGTAAGAAGGGAGGGGGGGGGATATAACTTTTTTTAAAGTTATTATTATTAATTTAAAAAAAAATTTAATTTAAATTAAAAAATCACACTCACACACACACATCACCCCCAGACACACACAGCACCCCCAGACACACAGCACCCCCAGACACACACAGCGCACTCAGGCACACAGCACCCTCAGACAGACAGCACCCTCGCTCACACACACATATATATATATGTGTGTGTATGTATGTGTGTATATATATATATATATATATATATAATATAAAATAACCCTCAGTGAGTTAACAGACAAAGAAAATTAGAATGTGACGACAGATAAAAACACCCTCACACACAGCACCCCTCTTACATACACACACACTGCGCCCCTCACACATACAATACGTCCAAATATATATATGTATGTATATATATATATATATATATATATATACACACACACACATACACACACACACTACAGCACTACATACATTACGCTCCAGATACACGCTAGATCCCTTACCTTATATGCACTCTTAATCCTCTATACACACACACACACACACAATCTCCTATACACACTCTGGGTCCTTTACACACTAGATCTCCTACACACACACTGCACCACCTACACACACACTACATTCTTGTCAGCAAACACATACAACATTCTCTAAACACACCCTCTCTACAACCCCTACACACACTACGTCACCTATACACCCTCACTACAGCCCGTATGCACACACTCGCTACATCCCCTATAACACTATGCCCCCTATACACACACTCTCTACAGCCCCTAGCCACACATATTACACCACAAACACAAATGAAATTGACCTATTTACACAATACCACACCACACTCTACACACACGCAATCCCACAAGCAGGCTCCAAACACATGCACCATACACTTTCCTGGCCCTTTTGTCCTCTGGTATCCCACTTGTTGAGACACCAGAGACAATTTAAAAGCAAACACAGCGCAAGCATGTTATTAAATTTGCTTGCGCTGCGCAGAACAAATACAGGGCCTTTTTCTAATGCCAGAGCTCTTCAGCGCAGCTCTGCGCATTGAACCAACATGCTCACTTTGAGTGGAGGCGTGCTTGTCATTAGTGATGACAAAACACACCCTCTCTGGCCCCGCCCCCTTCTTACGGGGCCGCTCTGATTGAAAAATGCCCGGGCCTAATTTTTTTCCCAGTCCGGCCCTGAGTGGAGGTATCCCTAGACTTTAATGTAAATACTGTATTTTCTCACACAGTGTTTACTGCAAAAAGCATGAAGTGAATGTTTCTACTTCCCAGAACAAATACATTAAGCTGTAGTTGTTCTGGTGACTATAGTGTCCATTTAACAAAACAGTTTTCGATGGTGTGATGTCTAGAGAATTAACTGTTTCTTTTAATTGTAGATGTATCCTTCTACCACAATCCTCGTGGTTTAGTTCCCACAACACAACACAAAGACACGGACAAAAAAAATAAAATCACAAAACATTGTTATGGTACAATCTTTATTGCATTAATTGTGCATTCAGAATAAAAAGTAAAGAGAAAATGCTACATTTGGCATTTTCGGGCAACAATAAAGATAATATATCCTCATTACATTACTAGCAAAATGAGGCAGTAGTTCATTGCTTTGTTGTAAAAGGAATTATTTATAAAAAAATTTTTTTTAAAAAGGCCAAATATTCATTGAAACCACAAATACACAGCATACAAATGTTTGCCTATGATTAAAAATAGCTTACACTTAAAGATGCACAACTATATGTCACATAGTATATAATGCGTGTTAGTTAATAAGAAGGTTCCATCAACTTGGGAGAATTCAATGGAATTCAGAAAATGTATAACTCTTAAGCCCCCCTGTCCACTTTGCATCAATCAGATCACAAATGTGTTCATATCACTTAGATTCACAATACAGAAAGAATCAATTAAATCAATGTCTTTTTTTCTTCTAAGTCCTACATTAAGAGTCATAGTTTACATGTCCATCATATAATAATTCATCCGGCCGTCATTAGGCAGCCGTATACTCATATAGCTCCCGTTTCCTACTGCACTGAGAATCTTCATGGCCGAGTTCTCCCTAGGAGCCAATTATCAAACAATCTAACTGAGCTGAATTTCATCTTGTTATATATATATATATATATATATATATATAAATAAATATATATATATATATATATATATATATATTTTATGAATATTTCAGTTGGATGGCCATTCCTTTTTATTATTTTTTTTCTTTTACAGGAAACGGAACTAACAAGACATTTTTTAAGCATGCCATTAAAAATACACATGTAGACGGTTGTAGTGATAATTATTTGAGGCTACTGATTATCATCATGGAACAGATATATCCATATTCGTCTGTTAGACGGGAGGCCTAAAATAAAGGGGCAGGTAAGTGTTAAAAATTAAATTTGATGTACTTTAATCTATTTTTAACTTTATCTACTATGTTATATTCTTGATCTTCACATTTGACACAGGATGCTTCAGGCATGGAATAACAGCTATTACTTTCTGCTCTTTTTGCTATGAAATAAAATGGGACAAGACACAGGGCAACTGGGTATCATGCACATTGCAGGGTTTATTGATTTAGCTGTAGCTCAAATGAAAAGATGAAAGGATAAATAAAGAGCATTATACCCCTATTAAGAGGTATGGAGGGTTTAAAGCCATGTCTGGCTCCATTAAAAAGCAATTTGGGGAAATGATTCAGTCTGTAAAGATGGAAATACAACAACGTGAAGGAAATTTTTACCTGCTGCCAGTTGGATTCTCACATTTGATATCACCCATAATGTACAATAAGTACCAAAATAAATTACTTTTATTTCCACAATGTGATCGGTAGTGTAATTAATTGATACATAGGATTCCATTGAAGAAGTCCAGGGTAGGTTGGATACCTCCTAAGGTTCATATTCATAATATGTGAACAGGTTAGTATTATTAAAAAAAGGAAGATAAACTTTATGATTAATGAACTCACACCAAAAAATACATAAGTATTGTGTACCTATATCCCTGAAACATAAGAATTAGCCATCATGCAGTCCTTGAGTGCAGGGGAGAGATTATACAATAATCGTTTCACTCAGAGACTTAATGCTGTGGCTCGTCAATTATAAACATAATACATACTAGTACAAATTAAAACATATGAATCCTTTATAAGACTTAACTTTAGCCTAGCTTGAATTGTGCCCAAAGAAATAAAATGGTTGTCAATATTGTCCTGCAACTGCAGTATTTCATAAAAACATTTGATTAAGAAAAAAATAAAATAACAATTAAATCTTCTGACATATGCATTTGTGGTTATCACACCACAATGTAAAATAAACGATTAAGAGGTACATTTAAAAATACAATTGCATATTATTGGATACTTAGCAAGCACCTATCTTAAAGAATCTAGAGTTGAGAACTACGAAAAGTTAGTAATTTTACTATTCAATGTAAAATCAGTTACGCACCCTGAAATAATTCGGAAATGAGGTAGTGAACTTTATCATAAGATACTGTTTTTTCAAAGCAGGGCTATGTTTCATTATGAACTAGGCATGGGTGAATTGGTTGGTGGGTTGTTTCTTATTCATGCCAAAGTATTCAATGAAAAACAAAACAAAATGGGTCTATGTATTGTGGCCAGGTTTCTTCTGCAAAGAACCTTCTCTGGGACCCACCTTGTTAACAAACAAACGGTAATAGACATGGACTAACCAAAAAGAATGGTAAAATATTCCAAAAAAGTTCTAAAACAGTGATGGCAAACCTATAGTATGGGTGCTTCCACTGGTACCTGAGAGACCTTTGAAGTGGTCCTCTAGGCCTACACCATAGAGATTAGAGTACAACTACTGATGACATCATTGGATAATTTCAATATCAGTGCAAATCAAGCGCTCTAGATTTGGAGAAGCAGTGAAACCCCCTTTGGAAGGAAGTTTATCAGGAAAGGAAAGAAGAGAGCACAACAGTTCATGCATGGTTAGATTTTGCAGAAGAATTGGTTCTCTGGCTCAGAAATATTCATTATTGTTCTATAAATAGGAAAGCAAGACAATAAAATACATGTTACTGACTTAAAACAAATTCAACCTTTTTGGATGAGCCTTAAGGAGACACTATAGTCACTAGGTGTCTGCAGCCTGTCCCTGCAGGATTTTTAATGTAAGAAAAGGCAGTGTTCACATTGGTGCCTGGTAACACCTCTAATGTCCACTAGAGGTGCTTCCTGGGTAAGTGCTGACCTTCAGCATGAAGATGCTGAAAGTTCCTCATAGAGATCCTTAAATTCATTGCATCACTATGAGGGGGTGCTGATAAGTGCAGTGCAGCATTTTGCCACGCATGCGCCAAAGCCTCCCAATGCTTTCTTATAGGAAAGCATTGGCTGAGATCGATGAATTTAATTTTCTCAGCCGAGGAGACAGAGAAAGGAGGGGCCCTCTGCGGCGAGACCTGCATAGCGGCGGTAATAAGGTCAGTTTAACACCTTTTTAACAGGGTCTTTAAAACTACAGTGTCAGGAATACACGTTTCTATTTCTGACACTATAGAGTTCTTTTAAATTACACTGTGAATACTCAATGACTTGGAGTAAAAATAGCAGAAATTATGCTGATAAAATGCAGTAAAGCCTTTATGATATGGATAGTAGGATTTAATGTGAAGGTGCAGAATATTGACAGTTATACACGGGGGTCCTATAGTAGATCTGACCAAGACTGCACCGAAAGTCAACAAAGTCCTTGACGCTTCCGTCATCCTAAGAGAAGTATCCATGCCATTCTCTCTCCCTCTCTGACTACAAAGGAACATATTTATGTATTTGCTCTTTTGCAATTAGCAACTGTTACATTTTCACACCAATCATAATGAAACTGCACTAAGTGTCCAGATTTCACATCTACCCGAAAATGAAAGCCAGTAACGTGTCACCTCTTGCAGAGAAAGTCAAACTGTCAAAGAGACGTACGTAGAGTCGAGACAAAGGCCCTCTCTTTATATATTTGTGTTTTATTTGGCGTGGGCCTTGCACTCTTGAAAAAAACCTGAAGGACTAAAGAAGGTACTTTATTGATACATGTTTTGTGTGCTCAATACATAACAATAGCCTCACTAAATAAAAATGCAGAGGAATGTCCAGTTTTGGACTCAAACCTCGAAAGACTGTTTATTCCCCAAAGCTGCCTAACTGAATAAAACAGGAGAGAGCGAGAGAGAGAGAGAGAGAGTGAGAGCGAGAGCGAGATCTCCTTAATGACTGTGAAAATAAACCTTTGCCAACACAAGTCTTATATTGTCGCAGAATTCCATACACTTTTGAAGGTCACAGTTTCTATCAAGTCTCCCTTGGTTGGCAGCTGGAAATCCTCTGTTTTAAAATAACCCAAAAAGATGAGCCACCACTTCTGCGGTCCAGCTTCTACCTTTAAGGGGAAGACCGAGCAGCCGATTTATTGCACTACTGTTTAAACAGTAAATATGAAGTTTTATCGATGAAGATTAGGGTCATATTCAGGAATGAGGTAGAAGTTTTATATTTTCATTCATTTTTATAGGATTGTATCTTATACTTAAAAGTTTCATTTATTAATTTAAGCCTTAATGGTTGTTTTAGGATTTCACTTTCATTGTTCTGTTTCCCGAAAACATGTGGATCACAAAATCACTTAGGTATTTGATTTAGGCTACAGTTTGCAGCAACTAAATTACTAGCAAATGTATAGATTGTGAAAATCTTGAGGGTTGCTTCATTACTCCATAATGGTAAATAAGATCGCTACAGGTCAAAGTGTCCTACCTCTAAATTACAAATGCAGAACTCTACAATGCTTTTTAGAGATTGATTAGAAGAAGGTTATAAATAATAAATATATTCATTTTTAACCCCCAGGTGTTTTTTTTTTTGTTTTTTTTTATTGGTGTATATTCATGGCCCCCATTTGAAAAGAAAAAGAAAGTAATAAAAACACCACCATACAAGTCTCCTCCTAGCTGCTGCTGTGCCTCCTCTGAGATCATATTTGGTTATCTCTGACCAATCCAACCCTTCTCACTGAAATGAGTTTGTGAACTATGTTGCAGGCACTGCAAGTGCGGCATTCTGTCAATCTGTTGTTTCATGAAGAAGCACGAAATCCAGTGCTTCAATATGAGAAGCATTTGGCGTGCTTGGCCTCATTATGATGTGCATGATCATGCCGAACGTGAAGACCATTATTGAGAAAGCTTCTCTAGGGCTGTATATCTGACAACCCACAGAACAAAGATATAGAATTAAATAAAATCATATAGTTGAACTAAATTTTCAGAGTTGGGGAATGTATAGAGATTGTTGTATATACACATGTTCTACAACAACATCGACTTTAGCATCAAAGTTATTCTGCTCCTCATTAAAGAAAGTACATTTTAATTATAGTAAAAAAATAAAAATGTTTAAATGCTAGGTTATCCCCTTTTGGGAGCTTCCATGGTTCATTTCGAGAGTCACTCATTGCTTCACACAGTGACTGACACATGGTTTTATAGATGGACCCTAACGAGGATATATATAGCATATAAACATTATCAACCCTTGTAGTCGCAATGAGAAAATGTCATTGATCTAATCAACACGGAGACACTACTGATTGCAAAGCAGCATGTGTCTGATGTCAATTGTATCCAATCTGGCTAGTACTCAAAACTTTTGCTTCTATAAAAAAAAAAATTAAAAAAAAATTATATTTAATTATTATAGGACAAAAACTGTTTCGCGATCTCCATTGTCTAGAAATAAATCAGACAAGAATAACTATAGTTGAGTTAGTTTGTCATGCACATCTGTCCCCCAGGGACATGCACAAACAAAAAAAAAACTTAATACTTCAGGGCTGGAATTAGGTGAATTTGCTATCCCAAAGCTGTTCTGAAGTATGTTTTTTTTTTTATTTGTTAGTAATTTTTATTTGTTTTTCTAACAAATACTGAATACTGAATTCTAACTGTCAAAGATAAACATATTTTTGGGGAAATAGGTCACTGCAACCACACAAATAAATACAGTGCCATTTCTAGGAAACAGAACAGTTTACATTTTGCAATCCTGATGCCTTAGTAACTGAATCTATTTTATGTCTGGAATCAGGAAAGTGTACTGACAGCGCATGATGGGTGTGCGTCGAAGGCTTCAATATCTTTTTTTTTTTTTTTTTTTTAAATCTAAAGTTTTAATTGGGAAAACTTTATACTTTGATTTACTCAAAGTTGCAAACACACACTAATTAAAATAATAATATTAAAAAAAAAATTTTTTTCTCATTTACTGCCAGACTCTAATCTATATCAGATATAATATATACATATTATATATATATATATATATATATATATATATATATATTATATAGTAGAGGTTTTTTTATCATGCAATAAAGATCAGCTGTTGCAAGCAAAAAGAGCATGCGAAGGTAAGTGGTTAAACACAGATAATGCTATATTAGTCACAGTTTCTGCATATAGGTAGCATAATATTACAATATCTAGCTATATATTTAATAACTATGGTGATTAACTGTAACTTTGCAATGTACCCAAGGGGGATGTATCCGTTAGAGGATTAAAATAGAGATGAAACTAATATATTTGTATTGTATTCTACTCATCTGTACGGTCATTTAAAGAGTTCTCAAAAAAGGTTGACTGAGCACCAAGGCAAATGTACTTTTCGAACAACTACACTGCCCACAGTTAGGCATTGCTGGCCAACACAGCCGCACAGATACTAAAAAAAGCCAGAATAAATTACGTTAATTCGGTTTGAATGACAGCCCAGGCCAGTGCTCGTCACGAGTGGGCAATAGAGCTGAAGGGCTGGATCCTACTAAAGCAGCAATACATTAACAAGAATAAGCCTATAGTGTTGGAATGCAGTGAGTAGCAGCATGCAAAAGCCACATTTGTAGTTATTCAAAGAGCTGAATTGAGGTTAGACATATCTCACTGAGAGAGAAGAGATTAGACTGAGAAACATTAAGATTATGTACATAGGTTTCACAATTGAAGGATACACACTTATTCATATTTTACAGTGTTAGACTATGGATGGGACAGACAATCAATATTCAATATTAAACTGGTCTCACAAGAATAATCTACATGCAGAAGGAGTAGAGTGGTACAAACTTCGCATAACACTTTATAGAAGTTCTGTCCTGCGCTTTTGGTGGCTGTGAGATAATAAGGATTAAGAACTCACCCTGAAAGGAGAGCACTGTAATCTGGATGATAACTAAGTCTTTACAAACCTTTTAACCTGTTCTTGTAATTTTTATTGTGTGTATACACTTTGTACCAACTATAATTCATGCAATTCTGTACCATATAATTTCTTGTCGAGTGTACGTAGTTCTACAATATCATAAAAAGATTGAAAAAGAACTGCAACATAAAACTTTGTGATAAAGGGGGTTTTTTTTGTTCGTTTTTCCTTTAAAAATACATTTTGTGGGAATCTCAATTTTTTTGTGTGTATTTAAAAAAAAAAAAAAACATATTGGTTAAGCTTGATCAGCAACTACAAAATAAAAATGGGTTTAGGTAGCTATGATAAATACTCTAGTGTCATTAAAACCTTTATACATCTCACCCATTAATTAAAGGACACTTCAGAGCCCTAAAGCACTTTTGTTTGCTGGAGTGCTATGTGTGTGAAGAGTCTGTTTGTTTTCCTCTTTATTTTATCAAAAGGTGCACATTTCAACTGACACTTATATAAATTAACCTTGTTACACCACCCTCCAGCTGTCATTTAGAAAGATGGTTCTGTAACTTCCTGGTTACTTAGCTCAGGGGAGCTAAACTCTAGATGCAGCAATTGCTCAGAGCACCTGCCTTGCAAATACTTCTCATTGAGCTGCATTGGAAAGTCTGTGATTGGACAGCTACAGAATGTCTGGGTGGGGTTACAAGGGAAGGCTTACAAAGGATACAGACATGATAGCTGCAGCTTTTGCAAGCTGTTTTTAATTATACCCCCATGAAAAAAATGCATAATTAAATGTATGTCTGTTTTCATTGGGGGATATCTACTAAACAGTGATTTTGTGTTTGTTTGTTTTTTTGTTTTTTTTATTTGGACTTTGGAGTGTCCCTTTAATAGTGCCATGTCCCAGTCCTCTGCCTTGGCTGCTTTATAATAGTCTAATCATGCTTTGTTCTAGAAAAACAGAGGATTGTTGATTGTAATGAGATATCAAACTAGATCAAGGCTTGCATCCTGTGCAGAGTTTTGTATAAACCACAATATCGAGTCCAGTTAAAAGGAGTGCTTTCTACAAGGGCCTTAACACAACATCATTTACCGACATTATTTTTGCATAAGGTTAAACAATGCATTATTTATAGCATGCTTGTAAATTTTGTTGTACCTTACAATCAGATAAGAGGAAAAATCAATGTCCACTTAAGTTCCAGAATACTCGCAGATGGTCGGTGCTATTTTGAATAAATGTTATATTTTGAAAAGAAATGGTTTTGATTTTTTTTTTTTTTTACTTTTCCTTTACTTGGTGTTCAGGTTTTTCTAAGAAAACATTTTAAGTATCTCCTGTATGTAGAAAAAAGGTAGAAAATGAAAGTATTGCTTCTGTTTGGACAATATGGTGATCGCTACCTTCCATGGTAACATAGTTATTGTAACTCATCAGTAGTGCACTTGTCAGTCATTTGTTGACAAAAATCAATTATCCCGCTTTGACAACTGCTTTTCACTAACAAAGCGGTTTCAGAGGTTAAGCTTCGTACTGGACCCATGTTTTGCAATATCTTTCTCTCCACGATGTCTTCTGAGCGGCAGACCGGTCCTTGACTAGGTAAGCCGTTGCCAAATTCAGTGCAGGTTTGCAACACAGATTCGCATTGCAGATGCATTTTGTCTTTCTCCGGCATTAGGAAGGTAAGTGGGCATTCTGAGCTGGAATACTTTGCCAGGATTTGTATTTGGTCACGACTCAGGGCAGCCTCCAGACAAACTTGCTGGCAGAGTCCAGACAGATTTTGCTTGGTCTCTCCTAGTGTAGACAATATTTGGTCTCTCTCTTTCAGTAAGTGTTGCTTTTCATTTTGCTAGAAAGAAACAAACGGCAGCAATGAAACAAAATAAAATATAAAACTGAGGATGAAAAACGCAAAACATACATACGATTAGCAAAGAATCCAGTTCATCAAGTCTGATTTGGCTAATTGCTTGCTGATTTGCTTTCATATAACTTACATCTGTAATCCTTTAATTGTCTGGATTGTCTGTATCCTCAACCTTCTGATAAGTGAAGCAACAGATCTGCTACATTTTATTTGGGTATTCTTTTTTTTTTTTAAATGTATTTATTTTTAAAACACTTCTTTAAAACAGTTTTTTGTTATTTTTTTATTTCAAAGTTAAACATGTAGCAAAGTAAGGAAACAATTCTCTCAATTCTGAATTGTTTGAAATGGAATTCTGAAAAATTTAGGTTAAAATGGGCAGTCTTGAAAAGTGTAGCACATCCAGTCTGTGACTCTAACTGGACATTTTTCCAAGATCAGCTAATTTAGCATTAAATGTCTGATTTTATTAAAGACACGGAGGCTCATATTATGCATAACTCTTTCTTTATTTCCTCAGCAGCAAAGATAGAGGAATATAAATATATCAAAAATGAAAGAAAAAACTGCATAGATACACAGGCAACCAATCACATAACAGAGGAAGTGACTATATAAAGCCTGTGTCTCCCACAATCCCCCTCTTTCTTTGCTGCTTCCTCAGACAGCTAAGTACCTTGCTTGATCCACTGTATTTTATTTGGTGTACTTTGCATTTACTTGGTGTTATGCTGTACTGATGTTGTACTTTTATTATGGTTATGTGATATTTTTGCACTGTGCTTATTCTCACTTCTTTTGAGTGTGTGATATCCTACTCTGTTTTTCTTCTGTCAGCTGCCTGCTTGGTGCAGCTCCTATCCTGTCCCCTGCGCTGGTGCCTCCCTCCCCTCACCCCGCCCGCCGCGACCGCTCTGTCGGCCGGCGGGTGCTATTCAGTCCCAGGTCGGCTTTCAGCCGCGGCTCTCTCTGATACTGCCGCGGCTGTGCTCTGTTTCCCTTGATCGCGGGCTGCCCGCGCGGGTAGGGTGCGCGCGCCCCTTCCCCCGCCGGGGTCCTGACCGCGATCAATCTCCTGCACGTGCGGCGGCCATTTTGGGCGGTCCGTCGGCTGATCGGTCGCTCACTCTGCTGCTGCCGTGCGGCCTGTCTCCCCGGTCTGGGTCCCCTGAGTGCACCAGCGGGCAGGTTTTTCTTACTGTGTTCCTCTGTGGGTTACTCAACCCTTTTACCATCTAGTTTAGTTTATTCTAGCTACCTTCCGTTTTTGCTTATCTATATATTTCGATTTCTTAAAGTCATATTACTACAGTTTTAACTTGATTCACTTAAAGGTGTATTCCCCTGTGGTTTCACCATGCAGGATAAGGAGGATGGGCCTGTTGGCACCCCTAGTGATTTTAATATTGATAACCCTGAGGGTGCCATGGCCTCCCAAGAATTTCAGGCCCTGTTGGATGCCACTATGGCTTCTTCATTACAAAAGGCTTTTGCTTCAGCCATGGGTGCTGTTTCTTCCTCCTTTTCTCAGTCCCTGCATTCCATGCTTATGCCCTCACTGCCTACCCCTACCCTCCAGGGTACTGGGTCCCCTTCCTCCGCCCAGACTGTGCCTGGTACCCGTAAGGTGAAGGCGAAGTCTAAGCACGTTGATTCCCACTCCTCGATGCAGGTGCTACCTGCCATGACTGACACACTGGATGTGGTCACAGACAGCGCGCACCCCACGCGCAAAAGAGCCCCTGGCCGGGCTAAAAAGGCTAGATTGTGGAAAAGGGCTAGAGCCCTAGATGATGAGTCGGATACCGACCGGAGTGTGGAACGTGACTCTGATATTATGGAGTATGACTCCTACGATGAGGGCGGGTCGGACGAGGAATTGCCCTCCGCGGAGCTTGCCCCCTCTGGGTCCTCTGCCGTTGCCCTAGGCCAAGTTAAGATCCCCCCTGGGGACAGTAAGGCCATTTTAGACCCCCAGGGAAACCCACTGTTCGACCCTGACGACCTGCGTCACCCACGGTCAGCAGAGTGGGTCCCCCCGGACCATATTGCGCAATATGTGGCTAAACGCCTGCGCACACCCCTCTCCAAGGAGGGTCGCAACAAGTTGCGTGCCGAATGCCCTAGGCCCTCTCTCCCGGGCTCGGCCTGTAAGACTCCGGATATTGACCCCCAAATCGCCCAGTTTCTGAATAAATCAGGCTGGAAGCCCAAGAAGGGTTTGGATTACTCCCTCAAGGGATGCCAAGATAAGATATTGGATACCCTGGGCCCTCTGTCTAAGCTGTACGAGCTGCTAGATGCCGCTAGGGCTGGAGACTCGGTTATGGATGTCGATGTGGCCATTGGATGGGTCCAGAGGGCGATCTGCCTCTTGGGGAATGCAAATACCGCCATGTCTTCTGAGAGGCGTAAGGCGATTCTCCTTAAAATCGATCCCAAATTGGCTGCCATGACGGTGGCGGAACCTGACCCCTCTGACGAGGGTTTACTGTTTGGAACCTCTTTCGTGAAGGACCTTGGTTCCTATGTAAAGACCTTTACGGCCATTGACAAGGCCCAGGCGAATATGAAGCGCATGTTTGCGCCCAAGGTTTTCGGAGGGGCCGGGCGTAGCAGGAACCGTCCACCCGGCCGGGGCTTCCGTGGCTCGTTCAGGGCCTCCAGAGGTTCCTTCTTTCCTTCCCGAGGATTTCAAGATACGAGGTCGCCTCCTTTCTTCCCAGCCAGAGGGAGATCCTGGGGCTCCAGGTATCCCCGTGGTGCCGCTTCGGGCAGACGCCCTTATGGTGAGTACCCATTTTTCCCCTCTCGATCATGTACGGGTGGCAGGGAGGCTTGCCTTATTCTACCATGGGTGGACAAATATAACCTCAGATGCTTGGGTTCTGCAATGTGTAAAGGGTTATCACCTGGAGTTCGTTTCTATGCCTGTCCAGGTTCGCGTCCCCAGAGAGTTGTCCCTCCCACAGGATCAGGACGTCATGATTTCCAAGGAGGTAGAGGAGATGCTCACGAAAGGTGCCATAGAAGAGATGCCGTTGGCCTCTCCGGGCTTCACGAGCAATCTTTTTCTGGTGCCAAAGAAAGGGGGCGGGGTTCGTCCCGTGATAAATCTTCGTCCCCTCAACGCATTTCTCCACTACCAACATTTCCAGATGGAGGGTATACACTGCCTCAGAGACCTCCTTCGGCAATCAGATTGGTTGGCCAAGTTGGATCTGAAGGACGCATACTTTACAGTCCCCATCGCGCTGGACTGCAGGGATTACCTCCACTTCACGTGGCACGGTCGACGCTGGCGCTTCACGTGCCTGCCGTTCGGTCTCTCGTCGGCCCCTTGGTGTTTCACCAAACTCATGAAGCCAGTAATGGCTTACCTTCGTACCCGTGGGGTGCGACTGATCGTTTACCTGGACGACATATTGATCATGTCCCAATCCAGGGAATCTCTGCTGTTACATTTGGGTTGGACAACCAACCTTCTCCAAATTTGGGTTTTCTGATCAACTGGGACAAGTCGGTCATGATCCCTACCCAGTCTATAGAATTCTTGGGTTTCCAAGTGGACTCCATCAGGCAATTCCTGTACTTGCCGGAGTCCAAGATGAAGGCCATTCAGAAGGAGCTCCGAAGGGCTCTTCGGGTGCCGGATATGTCCGTCAGGCAACTGGCAAGGATTATCGGCCTTCTGGCGGCTTCGATTCAGGCGATCTTTCCGGGCCCGCTACACTATCGTGCCCTCCAACGACTCAAGGGTTCACACCTGCGTTCGGGCCACTCCTACGAGTCCCGAATACGGCTGGACGACGAGTCCAGAGACGAGTTGGTATGGTGGTTGGCACACATGGAGGCCTGGAACGGACGGGCCATCTTCGGCTCGATCCCGGATGTAGTAATAGAATCCGATGCCAGCTTACACGGCTGGGGTGCTCGTTGTGGAGACGTTTCCACCGGAGGCAGATGGTCCGACATAGAGAGGTCCCTACACATCAATTGTCTGGAACTGCTGGCGGGGGCCTTCGCGATACGCAGTCTGACCCCAGGCCGGGCAGACTGTTGCGTGCTCCTCAAGATGGACAATGTGTCGGCAGTCCGGTACATAAATCATCTTGGGGGCACCAAGTCCAGAATGTTGGCGCTATTGGCGAAGGATTTCTGGCAATTTTGTCTCCTCAACAACGTCTCGGTGCAGGCGGAACACATCCCAGGCCTGGACAATTCGGGAGCGGATTGGAATTCCAGGCACTTAAGAGACTCGGGAGATTGGCACTTGCACGTTTCGGTTTTCCGAGGTCTGGACAGTCTCTGGGGACGCTTCGAGTTGGACCTGTTCGCTTCACGTCTGAACACTCAACTCCCTGCGTTTTACAGCTGGAGGCCAGACCCGGCAGCAGTAGCGACGGACGCCTTTCTCCAAGACTGGCCTCCGGGACGCCTGTATGCCTTCCCACCGTTCAACATGATCGCTCGCACGATATCGAAGTTGATCCGGCACGATTGCTGCCTGGTACTGATCACACCTCTTTGGAGGTCCCGTCCATGGTTCCCACGCTTGATGGAGTTGTCGATAGACTACCCCAGACTGATTCCGAGCTTCCAGGATCTCCTCCTGGATCCGGATGGGAACTCGCACGGACTGGTGCTCCGACACCAGCTACCTCTGATGGCGTGGCTCCTTTCAGGGGTACCTGGGTTGTCCCGAACGTTTCGCGGACGACTCTACAACTCCTCGATAACGCCTGGGCTCCAGGTACGCGATCGGCCTACCGCTCTTCATGGGGCTCATGGTCTGGTTGGTGCATGGAACGGGCAGTGGATCCCGTATCTGCCCCTCTCCATCTGATTTTGGAGTACCTCACTTTTCTGTTTGATTCGGGCAAGGCGTATCGAACTATCAACCTTTTTCGTTCCGCTATATCAGCTGGTCATGTTGGTTTGGATGGTTCGCCCGTGGGCAGACACCCCTTCGTGTGTCGCCTGCTCAAGGGCATTCGCCTCGCCCGTCCGCCCAAGGCTCGTTTCTCTGCCTTTTGGGACGTTAACATTATGCTTCAGTTTCTGTCTTCCTGGTACCCGAACCAGGGGCTGACCCTTAAGCAACTGTCTTCCAAGTTGGTTATGTTGCTTTGTTTGGTTTCATGTAAGAGGGTTTCTGACGTTAGGGCCCTTGATTGGGACACCGTTACCTTCTCCCCTGAGGGTGTGACTTTTAACATTTCCAGACGGACTAAATCTGCGTCAAGGTCTTTCGTGTACCCTAGATTCCAAAGATGTCCGGCACTCTGTCCAGTGGAGTGTTTGAAGGTCTATATGGAGGTGACCCGGCCTCTTCGCTCACCAGATCTACGACCTTTGTTCATTTCTTTTCGTACACCGCATCGACCTGTGTCGACACCGACCCTGGCGCGTTGGGTGCGTTGGCTTTTGTCTGCGGCTGGTATAGACACGTCTATCTTTACACCCCATTCGGTGAGGGGTGCTATGGCTTCCAAGGCTTCGACAGTCTGTCGTCTGGAGGACATCATGCGTGCAGCGGATTGGTCTCGAGAGTCGACCTTCCGTGACTTCTACTTCAGACCTATTGAGCACATCGCATCTCAGGTGATAGCACAGCTTTGAACTTGCATAATATGAGCCTCCGTGTCTTTAATAAAATTCCCAGATTTTACTATTAACATGACGTAAAGTCATGATTTTATTAAAGACACGGAGGCGAGTATTATTCCCTCCCACCCTCCCGGTGTGGGGTATGGAGCGAGATGCGATTGGTACTCAGGTATGTTGAGATTTGGCCTGCCTTGTGAGTACTTCATGTGTTGTATTGCATATACTGATTAATTATGTCTATTATATTTTTCAGATTTCATTCCTTTAACCATATGAATGGTCGTTAGTTTTGTATTGGTAAGTCCACAGTTTGGAGTTTGGTTATTACCATATTTCTCTCTCTTTTTTAGCTTGAAATTGTCGGATTGTTCCAGTTCCCGGTTTTGGCCAAGCAAGATATCGTTTTACTTACCTGGTCTTCGGTTTTCGCAAGAAAGAGGGGGATTGTGGGAGACACAGGCTTTATATAGTCACTTCCTCTGTTATGTGATTGGTTGCCTGTGTATCTATGCAGTTTTTTCTTTCATTTTTGATATATTTATATTCCTCTATCTTTGCTGCTGAGGAAATAAAGAAAGAGTTATGCATAATACTCGCCTCCGTGTCTTTAATAAAATCATGACTTTACGTCATGTTAATAGTAAAATCTGGGAATTTTAACTCACTACAATTTGGAGCTGACCCTTGATCGGAAACACACGCCTACCGGACTGAAGGTCACACTGTTTTTGTCTAGTGAAACTGACTAATTCCATCATAATATTAAAGTGCTGCTTGGCAAAATAGTGTTACTATTCAGGTAATGCGGTTTAGCCACACTTCCTGAGTGGGACGTACACACTATCTACCTTCCTCCTCTCCACCTTTATTTTCCAATAATACATTCTGGCTTCTGTACTGGCCAGTTCGCTGCTTGTTTAATCTCAGTCCTCATCTTCGATACACTTAATCATTGTACATTTTATTCCTGGTATCAATCATTTATCATCCAAGGATAGTGTCTTAATTACTCATCTGTCCCCCTATTCCACAGAATATACCACAATACATGGTCCTTGTTCCCCTTCACTTCTATCCTGCACTCCTGATGGACTTGATCTCTTCTCATGGCCAAAATACTCCTTCACAAATGACACAGAAACCACCTATTGTTTGCCATACTTCATGCCCAACTCAGACAAATGAAAACAGCCAAAATTAATGTTTTCTGGCATGTATGAAATAGATTCCATTCCTTGTAATCCTAAACAGTTCATTTTATCCTATTATCGACCCTCAGTTTGCAACTTAGCTGCAATGTCTACTTTCATTCACTTTTTTTTTTCTGGTAAACAATTACCGACCTTTTTCTCCACCTGCTGTTTTGATATCCTAGAAAAGCCCATCACCTATCACATTCTCCACAGCAAAAGTCTTTATCAACTGCCTTATCCTTACCAAGCTGGACTAGTGCAACTGCTTCCTCAGTACTCAGATATTTTAATTCAGAATATTTTTTTCCCCCAGAAAAAAAAGGGTTGCTGTCCATCCCATCCTCAACATACTGGTCTGGCTCATGTAACCCTGTAGTAAAGCCAACAGCGCTCTGGTCTACCAGCACTACTTTCAAATACCTTATTATTTACATCCTTACGTAACCATGCACCTCCATACCACCAGATATTCTATTATACTCTTCACACTATTGCCTCTACAGACCTTACCCAAAACAATGTATTTCATAAATTATATTCCGCCTTGTGACTTAATTTTCTGCAAGTTTCTGAAATGACACCCACACTCAAAGTATCTAATCGTATTCTACAGCACTCCTTGTTTCAACCAAGTCCACTCTGTCCAACTCATCTAGCCTCAGTACTTCACCCCTTCCATTTCCTCCTCCACATCATTACACCCATTGCCCCAACATCTACTGGTCTGTCTTTACACTGCTGACATATAATCAAGTCTGAATCCAACTCATGCTAATGTTGAATGTCAGCAATGAGTACTGCAGATTATGTAATCTGTAAAATACAAGCACTGATAAAGGTGCTACATAATAAACGTAAAAGGAAGAGTAAATACATCTACGGGTTAATGAATACATAGATCTACATCTGTGTCATTACTAGGGAGAAACAAGGCAACCTAACATACCAGATAACTTTGACAGAACAGGCCAGTCAATGTTTAAATCCAAGATAACAGTCTGCAGTGACTTTGCATGACTCACTGTATTTACTACCAAGTACTTGCTTGATTCCGGGAGCAGTTCAGCAAGTGTATAATGCTGATGGGGTTTATGGCAGCACCATAATAATTTTTTTCATTTCTTATTTGCGTATACAGCCATATTTTATCAAACAATTGAAACGCAACCTCCCCATTTCTGAAGTCATCAGTTCTCAAAGGATGATTGGAACATTACCTAGTGTCCATCATACTAATCTGATGCCATTTTTTATTTACGTAGTAGCTCTAAGCTCTGCTGGGTGGAACTTTCTGAGTAAAGAATTGCAGCAGAATTCAGGTCTTTGTTTATTCAATATGAAACAAAACTGTAAACACAATGCCTTCTGGTGTGAATGGAATTCCTAAACGGTTATATGGAGTCTTTACCAACTGAGTCACAGAGGCAATAGACGCTTTGCCAGAAACTATAGTACTGAAATAGTTACATGTGGGGGTGTGAATAATGCTCATCATGGGAGCACAATCTAGATGGAAGAAGAAAAAGAAACGCATTCTTAAAAAGTACCAAACATATTGCAGTATAAAATGTCAAATAACTAAATGTCACAGCTGTAATTAAAGCAAACACATTTTTTTTTGTGTATATATATATATATATATCACTCATAAATGTTAATATCCGATCAACGTGCTACACCCACAAGCAAATATTAACCCCTTCATTACCGAACACTTTTTTAATAAAAAAATAAAAAAATAAGTATTACTACTTGACTATTTCAGCCTGAAAACTTTGGTGCTGATTTATAAAAGTGGTGATTTCACTAGAAATCATAACTTTTATTAAACAATAGAGTGGAGTTATGCTCGTCACCCTTAAAGCACTTCAGTTCCATGTTTGGAGTGTTCCTTTAACCCCTTCATTACCGAGCACTTTCTGATTAAAAAAAAAAAAAACATATCAACATAACATTTATTGAAGCAAGGGATGCATAGCTAGCATATAAACAAAATCATAATACTGCAATTTTGTGCATAGATTGCTTTGCAGACAAACGTAAAAAATAAAATTATGTAAATTTACACAATTGTTAATTTTTTTTTTTTACATATTCGTTCGCCCATTATAAAAACTTTTGGGACACAAGATTTATACAGTATACAGTGTCCTTTATCTTGCACTATTTCACACAGAGACTGGAATGCAAGTATAAAAGCAAAAATGTAAGTTTCCTCACGTACAGTAGGTGTGATAAAATATATAAATAAAAATGGTCAAGCACCATGCAATAACTTGTTAGGCATTACTTGCAATACAACATTCTGAAAATAGCAACAGAATGCAAAAAGAATGTCTGCATTTGAGGATATTGCCTATATAAAGTATAAAGACCTGGTCCCTGCAGTCTGACAAATATGAGCATTGCCATTAGTGAGAAACAGCTCTGATTATCTTTGTCACTAAGGAAGCACTAGTGTGTCAATTAGACAGCCACTATAGCCACTAGGGATCAACCGATATTGATTTTTTAGAGCCGATACCGATAATCTGTGAACTTTCAGGCCGATAAGACGATAACCTACCGATATTCTGTACATTTACCATTTTGAAAAAATAAACTATTTCTAAAGGTAAATGCACAAAATATACATGCCACGTGTAGTGGATGCAGTGTGTTTAGACAGGGAAGCTGTGTGTGTTTGTGTGGTGTGTGTGTAGTGGATGCAGTGTGTATTTGTGTGTGTGTGTGTTTGTGTAGTGTGTGTATATAATGAATGCAGAGTGTGTGTGTTTGTGTAGTGTGCGTATATGAATGCAGAGTGTGTGTGTATAATATAGAGTGTGTGTTTTTCTGTAGGTGTGTAATTTGTGTAAAATGGGGGAGGAGGGGGAGGCATTTTTTATTTTTAAATATTAGATTTAAAAAAAAAAAAAAAAAAAGTCCCCACTCCCTGCTTGTTACCTGGCCAGGGAGAGGGGATATAGCATTCCCTGGTGGTCCTGTGGCATGGACTGTGCAGAGGGGTCCCAGCAAATTCTTACTTACCTTCTCAGCAGCTCCCTTTATCTCCCCTGTCTAACTCTCGCGGCCTGTCGGCCGCAGGACTCACAAGATTTACAAGGGGAGCTGAAGGGAGCTGCTGAGACGGTAAGTAAGAGCTTGCTGCGGGCCCTCCAGGACCGACGGGCTTGTAATGGGTTCGGCAGTCCTGGTATGTATTATCGGCAATATCGGTATCTTTATAGGCCGATACCAATATTGCCGAAAATACAGAATATCGGCCGATAATATCAGTCCGATCGATAATTGGTCGATCCCTAATAGCCACATCTTTGTAAAGAATTTCAATAACTGGAAGTCTTCACATTCGACACTGCTAAACATTGCAAATGCCTCTCATAGAGAAACATTGGATTCTGTTCTTCACTCTGAGAAACATCTAACAGGCGGAACTCTGCAACGGCCAAACTGGCATGGCCGAACACTGCAAATCTTTCTCATAGAGAAGATTGGACTGGCATGAGATCAATGATTGCAATGATAGCAGGCAGAGCAGCTGCAGCAGTGAGATCGGGATGGTTCTGGATTAAAGGTGGTATTAACGTCCACAAGCTAAACATGCTTTAAACAGCTTAAAGTTTAGCAGTATCTTACAGAAACTGTATAAATATTAACAAGGATCTTCTTCCTTGCTGATTCACACTCATTAAAACTGGCTATATCAAAGAAAGTGCAATGGATACAAATGTTTGGTGGAGAATTCTAGGAGATGTAACAACTCAGCAGCCATGTTTGGACAAAACCAACACTCGCAGTGGTGATACCTATTCAATAACCTACAACTTGTAAAGCTATTGAAATTGCAAATATTATTTTACATGCAAAACCATTCCAAAATAGATAACTGAGCACTACTGCTCATACCGTGAGTAACTAGCAACTGCAACCACTACACACCCCACAAACCCCCCCCCCCTCCCAAAAAACCCCAAAAAAAACCTCATTATTTGCTTTAAAAAGTAATTATGTCTAAACAAGGGTGTAAAATTCCATTAAGTAAGAGCAGCAAAGCACTAAAGCTTCTCCTGTGACCGCAGGCTAGAACAGCAGATTTAAATCTCTCTTTTAATCCCACAAGGGAAAAAGTTACAAGACAACCAACCAGGATTTTAAAGGGTCTTATTATTAATCTGTGTTTGTTTGAAAATCTGGATTGCTTTTGACATATCAAAAATAAAAGTAAAACTACAGTTGTGTCTTTTGATAACAGCTCAAATGTAACCCTTTCGGTTCACCTAGCATTGCTGCCTTGTGTTTATAAAAGGTTAAAAAAAGTGTTAACTTATGCATGCCCTCTATTCATCGTCTTAAGCTAAGAAGGTGATACACACAAGAACAAGAGATGTAAGCAAAACAGAAATCGAGCCATGGAATTGCACACAGCATACCAGCTTTCTAATCTCGGTTTCCAGATTTTGAATGCAGTCCAGTTTTCTCTTGCGACAGCGCTGAGCGGCAATCCTGTTTTTACTGCGCCGACGAATGTCGTGAATGCAGTCTAGCTGTTCTGGCGTGAGGTTATGCGTTTTCACCAGCGATTGGAAGTCGTAACGGGAAAGTGATATTATTTTTTTCGAGTTCACTGGCAGTTTCTGAAACACAAAACGGTATTTTTGAAAAAAAATAAAAACATCAAAAATGGACTGATATAAAATAAAAAAATGTTTTCTACATTAAAGAGTTACTCCAAACACCACGACTACTTCAATGATTTAAACTGGTAATGGTGCCCTGATTCTTTATGTGCCATGTTTGCACATACAGTGTTTAACCCCTCTGCTGCCAGAAGTGTAATTCCTCCTCCAGTCTACGTCATCGGGACATCATTACCCAGCTCGGAACAAAAGTTTTTGTTTGGAGTAACCATTTAACCCCTTAAGGACACATGACATGTGTGACATGTCATGATTCCCTTTTATTCCAGAAGTTTGGTCCTTAAGGGGTTAAGGTAAAAGTCAAAACATACCAGAGGTCAGATGGCCCCAAAATTTTATATTTTCACATATAAAATATGTTAAATTAAGCTATGTATTCCCTAGTACGATAAAGTTTTGAAAAAGTAATATTTTTCTCTTTTTAATGTTAACTGTTGAAAAATTATATTTAAGCAGGGGGGAGGTCCCCCCAGATACTTAGCAAACTATGCAAATTACCTATCCATCCTTCTGCTGTCTTTCAGTGTACACATGCATGGTCTATACCTGTGGTTCATATTCCCATAATTACTTGTATTCGATTTGATATAGTGCATTTGCATCAATTTAAAAATTACAAATACAGGAGCTGAATTTAAAGCCTGACATGAAGTAGTCAGTGCATATGTGCTGTATTTGTTAACAAGGGAACACTGCAACGGTTTATTAATACAGCAATTTGCAAAATGAACTGCAAAATCACTGTGCATGTGAACTTTATCTATACATAAATATAAAAACCTTACATGAGATTAAGGTAACACAATAAGGACAAAAACTGCCACACAAGGAAAGGTGTACTTAAAGGAAAACTGTGGTCTTGTAAAGTCCCTTATGGTTACATAATTTGCGTTTGGGACCAGTATTTGTTACATACTGATATGGCAGTGGTTATAAATCATGTGGATATTAACTCTTCATTGAGGTAGGTATACATGTAGTGCATACACCTATTAGATAAAATCACCAGAAAATGCAGAGTGATTTGGAACTCATATCACCCGACCAATGGACGGTACACAGTCAGCAAACTCACACATTACACACACACAAACAGCCAGCACAAACCAAAACATATTACACAAAGCCAGCATGTACATACACATACCAATTACAGCCAGTGCTCACACACACACACACATATTCTACACACAGTCAGCACACATATCACACTATGGAGGATGAAAAAAGAGACTATGGGGTTGAGGGTGAGACATTATGCGCAGGAATCTAGGTTCCAGTGGACCCAAACTTTCTAACTGAAATAAATTTATGGGTCTGGCTACTCCTTTAGTCCCTTGGGCAAGTAGATTTAAATTTTTTAAAATTTTCACACTCCTGAGTTTAAATTACATGACGACTTTATGTTTGTAACCTCCACCAGCAGGCAAAGCTGCTACACCCCCAAATAACATATTAGGTATCTGACCCTTCCTAGTGTGTACATGTGTGCAACAGAAGTATAACTTTTGAGATGCTACCATATCACTTGAAAGTAAGAAATCTCTATTGCCATGCCACCAGTGCAGCGGAAAATCCCAAGGAAGTTAAACGCATGTTTTAACACAATTTTATGCTCTCTAAAATTACATCAAGACACGCTGGTCATGAGATGTGCAATTCTTATTTCTACTGTCAAAACTATCTTATCTTTTGAAACGAAATGACAACAGTTCTGTTGTTTTTCTGAAAACAAAAAGTTTCATAACCTGTTCTTGTGTCAAACATTGAAATGTGGCAGCAACCTTTCTGAGAAGACCACATACAGAGGGATTTTTATTTTATTATCGTGATTATTATTAATAATTTCTTAGCATTCCAATAAGGAATCTTGTCTATTCTAATAAAAATGCACATTTTTATTTCCTAAATACCTGCATACCGCAGCAGAGACTCTGATAAACATTCTTTGCAATATATATGAGCATGTGCTTCAAATCAGATGATGTGGACTGTACTTTTCATTTTCTACAAGAAAATCAGAAATTACTATATTTACCTCACATTCCAGTTCTTTGGCAGAGATAGATCCAACACTATCTTCCTCACTGTCGGTTTCTGAGTCTCCATCCAGACTAATCGTACATTCATATGGGCACTGTACTTGCTGCTTGCTTTGGATGCATTCTCCACTGCTTAAATCTGTCATGTTGGTGCCTTCGTCATTGGAGAAGGTACTGATGAATGGGCAGGTTACAGAGTTGAGGGTTGTAAAAGTTCTTTCCGTGCTTTCAGTGATGGACATTCCTATCCATGGACATTCAGGCCTTTTTTCCACGTTGGATTCGCTAGTTGTTTCTTTGGTGGGCATTGTCGTCATCTCTGGTTGACTTGCCAATTCATTTCCATATAGGTCTGGCCAAAAGCCCTTTGCAAGATGTTCTGCAACTTCTCTCTCCACATTACTACGTTCTGTGGTGACAATCCGCTCTTCATTGACACACAAGTCCGATGCAGGTATCACCTTTGGGCATGAGTATTCAACAACACGATTGTCATCTTGTTCTTGGTTTGTCTTCTCTGGTAGAAGTTCTGCATTTGAGTTGTTAGGCATATCAACATAGTTAACATTTCTGTATGGTGGATATGTACATGGAAAAGGCACAGAATTAAAATTACGAGGTTCTGAAGTAAAACAAGGTGGAAAAACTAATTTGGCACATGTTTTCTCTTCTACACATGTAAGATTGTGGTAAGTTAAATTAGAATCATGTGTATTTACCTCGATCCTTTCCATTTCTGAAGGCTGAGTTTGAGATATACTGATTAACTGATCATCTGAATTTTCCTGAGATTTCAGCAAAGTAATGTTCTCAGATGACTCAGAGGACCTCACAGACATGGGGCTTTGAGCTTCTAGATTGCTGGAACATGTGCTTACAGATCTAATCCGACCAATTTTACAAGCTTTCTGAAACTTCCTGTATTTTGGGCAGAGAGAGGAGAATCCTGGGGAATTTTCCTTCCCAAAGCATAAAGTTTCACATGGCCTTTTAGGACTTTGTGGAGCTGTAGATAAATTTTCAATCTCAGTAGCACATTTGAGATTTGCAGGAAATTCCTCTCTCCAAAGTTCTTCTACTTCATTAATTTGTGGACGAGCCCCATCGTCTTGCTGACGCTGAAGGCTTGCTTTAGGACAAAAAGACTTACAACATTTTTTTCTTGGGAAATCTTGAGGTTCTACTTGAGGCTTGTTGTCCAAATATTTTAATGTGAGAAATTGGAAACAAGTTTCTTCAATGTCATGGATCTCCAATATCTTTGCACATGTTTTGATGTCTGATAAATTGTCTTTGTTGACAAGAAGTCTAGAAGTGTATGCAAATTGAAGAAGAGGGCCAAAGCCTTTCACCGTTACCTATTTAAAGAAGAAAAAGAAAATGGTCAGTTAGTATTAAATACATTTTATAGACTAGACAAGATATTTTCCTATGATGCAATTCAATTGTTTCTAAAGCCATAGTCAAATAAACCTAACTTTGTTGAATACAATATTTTTTATTAACAACCAGATGCAGGACAATATAGCAAGACGCTTATATTTTACAGCAGAAATATTGCCATAAAATGTGTATGTATTCTCTTAGCTATGTAAATTAATACATATGGTGAGGGAGGAAGCTGCAAGTGAGTTCAACGTGCTCAAAACGGTCAACTTTTTTCTGTATCTTGATAGGTTTATTGGCAGGATATGAAATGTTACTTTACAATCAATAAGTCAATTCATTGTTTTGTGATAGCGGTTAGTAAGTTATTTTTAACAGAACATTCTAAGCACCATAACTACTACAGCCTTCTCTAATTGTTATGGTACCAGTAGTGCCAAAACGTCATCCCACAGTAAGTAGAGATGGCACAGCAACATCACAAATTTCTTCTATACAGCTCTAAAAAAAAACAAAAAAAAAACACAAGAATTGTGAAATGTGTATCCGCTGTACCCATTTATTAGATTAAATGCAGAGTCTTATGCTGAGTCTCTTAAAATTAAATAATCTAAAAGATCAAGAATTACCTACAATAACTACACCACTAACGAAACCGTTTTATTTTTTGTTTATTGCCTAGGTCAGTGTTTCCCAACCCAGTCCTCAAGGCACACCTACCAGTCCAGGATTTAGGGATTACCCAGTTGTGTCTAAGGTGTTTTTACAAAGAAGAAAAAAAAACACCTTAGACACAACTGGGTAATCCCTAAATCCTGGACTGGTAGGTGTGCCTTGAGGACTGGGTTGGGAAACACTGGCCTAGGTTATGGACCAAAAAATGTCCCCTGTCCTGTCACTGTGTCCCTGAACACAATGGCCGAGGTGGCTTGCAAAATTGGTTGCCGCTATCAGATTGCCCCCTTTTAAGTTAAAGTTGCACATATGGTGAGTGCACAACAAAGTGATGACTTAGATGTACGTTACGTACTGTCCAACTGATAAAACTGTGAATGTGGCTGTTAACAGACCGCTGCAGAATAAGTTTAATTTAATTAGTAATAAAGGAAGCACTTTGTCACAGTTTGTTAATAATTTGCACAACGCATGATTTTTATATATTTTTGCATCACTTTCTCAAAATGTTTCTTATAAGTAAGAGTGACTGCACAGAAACTATAGAACACAAAATCACTTCAAACATAAACAGACAGACGAGGCATGTCCAGAAGAGAATAGTGGCAGAGTAATGATGGCATGTAAGATCACTCAAGGTAGGCTATGCACGTTCCAGATTAAAACATAATGAACTGACAACCAGTCTTACCTCTTCAGGCAAGGTGATGATAAAGTCACCATTGCACGGCTGCACAACGTGTGACAGAAAATAATCACTGCAAGCAGCAAGAACGGCCCGGTGAGCTTGAAACCTCTGATCTTCCACTACAATAGTCACATCACATAGAAGGCCCTGCTCTCTTTGGGTGTTCAGACGAAGCAGAAGATTTTTACAGTACACAGAAGACTCGTAAGCAAAAGGTGCGTCTTTTTTCTCACTATAAGACATCCTGGATTGTGAATTCAGAAAGCATGCTTCCATTTAGCTCCGCAACTGAAAAAAAACAAAAAACAGAAAATAAATATAATATTTAGACTAGTAGCAGGTAGACTGCCAAATATGGGCACAGTACAGCTGGAGGGAGCCAAGACACTTTCCATGGGAAAAACTAGAGGCTCTCAATTAAACGTGTGGTTACTATTAATGGTTAACAGGTTACTAACTGGCTTACTAATGAGTAAATAGACTATAACATAAAGCAATTAAACGTTTAGTAACAATAAACTCTCCATAACATGCCCTTTATGAACACCTAACCATCTACACGAACACACCTTTTTTCTGCTTCAGTATAGGACGTTTATTTTCAGTACTATTATTTGGATAATTCCAGCTCCATTTATTTTACAATTCAGTCTTCTCCCCCCTCCCAATTTAATTTTCTTGTGAATTGGTCACTAGCGAAATATAATGCTAAAGAAAAAAGTGGCTTCTATTTCAGTTAGTAGCCCAGTGTCTTACTTTAACACAATAGCTGCAAAATTCTCATGTGGGTTAGTTGACAAAATAAAGAGGAACAAGAGTAATAGGAAAAAAAAAGTCATGTCTGATGCAATAGGCTAGCAATAGATACGAATGTGAGACACGTGGGCATAGGATAGACCAGTGTTCTGCAACCTTTTAACACCCACGGCCCGGCGAAAATAGGAGACGTATATCGTGGACCGGCATCAGCCAAAAAAAAAACAATGGTATGTGTGAGGGATGCAGTGTGTGTGAGGGGTGCTGTGTGTGAGTGAAGGGTGTAGTTTTTGTGTGTGAGGGGTGCAATGTGTGTGAGAGGGGTGCAGTATGTTTGTAAGGGGTGCAGTATGTGTGAGCGGTGTGTGAGGGGTCGCGGGGTATGTGTGTATGTGAGGGGGCGTTGTTTGTGTGTGACGGGGTGCAGGGTATGTGTGAGTGGGTGCAGGGTGTGTGTGAAGGCTGAAGAGTATGTGTGAAGTGGTGTAGTGTGTGTGAGGGGTCTATATTGTTGGGGGGTGATCGGGGGAAGATTTATATTATTTACTCAAAAAAGGGGGGGGGGAAGCTTAATGCCCCCCTTCTGACCTCTGGCCTGGAAGGAGGGCGCATATCACTGCAATACCTGGCGGTCCAGTAGTGGCTCGTGCACTTCAGCCTGCAGCTCCCGCGAGCACAGTGCTATGTTGGAGCGTTGTCATGGTAACGCGCAGCAATGCTCCGACCTGCCTGTTCGCAGGAGGATCACAGTCTGCCGTGTCCCCCTCCTGCCCTGCAGTCTCCCATGTCCTACCTCCCTCTCTCTCCCTTAACAAACTGCCAGGGCACCATTGAGAGAGATCTTAGACTCCCCACCGGCCAGAGAAAGGCAGACCGCATGGTCGGCTCACCCCGGGTGAAAGCATGCTGAAAGCTTTCGCAGACTGGCAATAATTTCTTGAGGACCACCGGCTGAAGACTACTGGGATAGACTTTTCAAATATATACCATCTGAAAGGTGCACAGGCAAACTTGTCCTGGTAGGACCAATCTCCTAACTGGTTGAACTGATAATCTGTGGCAACTATCACACTGCCATATGGGACACTCCCCTGACACTTTTGCTTTTTCAGTTTGTTGTACTCTTTTATCACAGTGGATATCCCAAAGCAGAAGAACAAACACAAGTAAACTGTCTTGTGTTAACCAATGGCATGCAAAAACCAGGCCTCTAGAGTGAGAACACAAAACCAGCATTTCCGACTTCACAATTCATGGAACCTCCAACTCGGACTCCACAGCACTGTTATTAAAATGAGCAATTCTTAAACAATTAGCGCAGATTTTAATGGTTTGTTTATTGCCACCTGCAGAATCAGGCTATGCTCATTTAGCATTTTGTGCTGTAATCAGCAGGTGAGTCAGCAACATGACATTTGCAGTATGGGAATGGTCACGCTTGCAAATCAATATATGAAACTGTCAGAGCCAACATTCCAAAGAAGAGTCTGGGTGTGAAATGTTTAATGACTTTGTAATATATGCAGTGTTGTGTTCTTGTTATCAAGATGGTCTTACATGCCCAGGGAAAGAAAATGAACTCAGTTACTATACTTAGTAACTTGACAAATGAGTAAACCCAGAGTCTCTCTTTCACCTCCTGTGGGGTACACCAAGAACTTTTTTTCTTTTTTTCACAAACCCCGATTTTTTTAAAAGCATTAAAAGAACCATTTAAGCACCATGACTACTTCAGCTCATTCTAATGGTACAGATCTTTAGCTGCTGCTTCGGGGTAATGAGAAAGTGAATTGCTGCACTATTTGTTCCACCTTGTGCAGCACTGTTAGGCTGCAGGCCCTGGTTTTGTGTTGAGATAACAAAGTCAATGTTAGAATTATGCCAGTTCTCAGGAAGTTCTGTAGAAGCTCTTATAAACAACAGTATATCAAGATGCTGCACATACAAAGATTAACCCCTTAGCTGGCAGGGGTATAAATCCAACACCAGTAGCGTCACTAGCCAGCCCAGAAAAAAGTTCTGTGCTGGGTAATTCGGTACAAAATTGACACCTGAGGCCAGCACATCCAGAAAGCTGCCGTCACACACCAAATGGTGGCATGCATCCCCTCTGTGCTGCCCCTATCCTTCCCTGAGTCTGTCCAACGTGACAGCCAAGTAGGATTGGGCTTCAAGGAGAACAGAGGTGAGTTATGAAAACACGGTGTTTTGGTTGGAATAACCCTCTAAGTGAGCTCCTTCGGTAAGGCTTCCTAGAAATCTTCTGGCTTTGAATTCTGAAAGATTTGCATTCGTAAACCTTTATCAGTATATTTAGTAGAAATACGACTACAACACTTCTATAACACATTCAATTCATTCCACCAATCTAGAAAACTGAAAGCAACATTCACATGAATGCCAGGACGCAAGGTTTTCCAACAGAACTTTGCTCAGAGCATAACACTCCCTTCGCCAGCCTGCTCACTTCCCAGACTGCATCCTGCTTTCCCAGGATCCTGCTTTCCCAAGTAAATACATACTTGGCCACCCAACTGATCTAAAAGAAAATGTGATTCATCAGACCAGGCACTTCCATTACTCCTTCCATTACTCCTTGGCTTCCATTTATCGTAGCATTTTCTTTGTCTGTTGCGTTTAGGTTTTCATTTTTTTGTTGTTTTTAATATTTTTTAAGGTAACACTATAGTGTTCGAAATACAAACCTGTATTCCTAAAGCTATATTGCCCCTGTAGCTCTACACATTACCCCCCCACCCCTTTTTACAGTGCTCTCCACCTCACACCACGTCATTGAGTATGTGTTGCCTCTTAAAGGGCCACTATAGTGCCAGGAAAAAATACTCGTTTTCCTGGCACTAGAGTGCCCTGAGGGTGCCCCCACCCTCAGGGTCCCCCTCCCGCCGGGCTCTGGGGAGAGGAAGGGGTTAAACTTACCTCTGGGCACTGGGCAGGGAGCTCTCCTCCTCCTCTCCGCCTCCTCTCTTCCTCTTCGGCTGAATGCGCATGCGCGCATTTACAATGCTTTCCTATGGACGCTGGCGTCTTCTCACTGTGATTTTCACAGTGAGAAGCACGCAAGCGCCTCTAGCGGCTGTCAAGAGACAGCCACTAGAGGCTGGATTAAACCTAACATAAACATAGCAGTTTCTCTGAAACTGCTATTGTTATAAAAAAAAAAAAGGGTTAATCATGGCTGGACCTGGCACCCAGACCACTTCATTAAGCTGAAGTGGTCTGGGTGCCTATAGTGGTCCTTTAAGCAAAGGTCAAATCCAATACTCATAGATGAACATTGGGGACCTGACGCACATGCGCAGCAATTGCCGCTCATGCATCCAAACTTCCCCATAGGAAACCATTGTGTTGAAGAATGAGGTGGATTTAACACTGCATTGAAGTTTCTAAAAGAAAAACTATATTATCTTACATTGCAGGGTTACAAAGACAGGGTCACTGCACCCAGACCACTCCAGTATGATGAAGTGGTCTGGGTAACTTTAGTGTACCTTTCGCAGAGGGATTAATAGCGAGAGGACTAAGAAGGTACAGTAACAACATTAAACTAGAGATTCAGCAAAAACAATTAAGAAACTGATCTCCAAAGAAACACAAAACAAGTCTCTGCATAAAATGGGTTGGAAATGTGAAGATCATCAGTCTGGCCTTGCGCCCCCTCTCCACCACCCTCTCTCTCTTTCCCATTCCTGCTACCAGCTATCACGGTCCTTTTGCACTTTTCTACTCCACTCTTGTACATTCAAGCTGCTTTGCTCTCTCCTGCACACATATGCAACTGCTAGTCTTTTGGAGGAACCGCTTTTGGAGACCTGTAATTTCAGTTGTTAGTTCCACTCATGGTGTATTACCAGCTAGTTTTGCATGGTTTCCCGGGGGGAGAGAGTATCATGTCCCATTTTACACCATGCACTTCTACAAACGTTCTTGAACTTTATAACACACACTGGGAGTTAGGGGAGGTACCATTTAGCCCTAGAACCCCCACAGTTAGTAATCTGCATTATGTCCCCATTGGAACAGACTACTTCCAAATATCTCCCAGAAGGTATTTTTTTCCCACCTTTTCAGCTGCCATTGTGCTGGCAAAATGTTTATGTGCCCAAAATCTTGATATAAAGACTGTAGAATACCAGTGCTGGCGATTACAACTAACCCTCCCTGGTCCCTTCTTATTCTACAAGTACAAATGTATGTTTTCTGTCTATTATTGATGGATATACAAGCAAGATGGCTATACAAGAGCAGATATGCTTTCGGAAGGCACTGTGGACACCTATCATCTATATTTATATATTTATCTTCTCTTTTCACAAAATACAAGGTGACTCATTTAGCCCTGTTAATATGGATCTAGTCAGGTCAGTTTCTAAGAGTTTAAGACATACACTTGGACATAACCAACAGGGATGAGTCAATGAATATTAAACTTACTCTACTGTACACATAGTGTTTCTCGGATCCGCACACAGGTACGTGCCACATCACGGTTTCTGGGGCATTAGTGAGTATTGTACATGTAT